CCTGTTTCACCTCAAAGCTTTTTGAGAGAAAATTTTGTTTCTTGACTTTAAATTTCGTGTTTTTTGGCGTAATCTCTGTCAAGACATAATTTTTTTTTGGAATTCCATTCATTCTCATAGTTTGCCTTAATTCCTTTCTGTCTATAGAGTCATACGCCTGCTTAAAATCATGGTGCAAAGACACTATGTCTTTGCAGATACAGATAGCAGATCCATGATATGTTCGTATATTTTTTCGTATACATTTGCCTTATAGTTTATATGTGATCCACTGTTGATATGTTTTTCCTGAGGCCACATTGATAGCCTCTGCAAATTCTTTCTTTCTATGACACTATCCTCTTACTTATAGCCATCGAGAGGACTTCATATAAAGTTGGTTGATAGTTCTGTAGTTAGCGCAATTCAACTTGTCCCCTTCTTTAAAACTATGACATAAAATTGCCGTTCCATTCTTCAGCGATAGTTTCCTGCAACCAGATTATATACATGAGGTAATAGAGGTGTTTTATTACTTCTTCCCAGCCGTTCTTTAGATGCTCAGGTGGTATTTCTTCAACTCCCGGATATTGTTCTTCAGAACTATAATCATTTCCTCTATTTCTTTTTTTTCTGGTGATTTTGTTTTCAATCTGTATAAAGAAGATTTAATTTTCGAAGCTAGTATCTTTAACGGTTTCATTCAGTAAAATAAATTGATCAAGTAACAGAGGAGCGTATTATAAACCAAAATAGCGAAATTATAACTTCATAAAACTTTAGTATACATTTAATCTTCCTTTCCATATATTCACAGCCAGCCTATTCCATATTCATTATTTTATTTAAAAAATAGTTGTATTAATTTTAATTGTAAAATGGGATTTCCTAAAATAATTATAGACCATTTGTAGAATATTCAACAAATTTACTCTAACATTGAGTCCAATTTAAGGATCCATATTTCAAATAGATCTAGAACAATACCTTTGCGCGGATACCCATAAGCAGAAGTATTAAGAAGGGAATGGAATTTGATAATATTAAAAACTACTAGAACATAGGTTTATCAATCTCCAACCTTAGTCCATCTTAGGAAATGATAAAAAGTATTTTTTATTTTAAATAAAGGGAGGGCTGAGAAGAAAATTATGTTAGAAAATTCGTTACAAAATATTTTATGGTTATTTGAGTAGTGAATGGAATTTGGTGAAATTGATACTTTATAATTTTTCAGCAATCCCCTATTTTCCTTCTAATTCGAGTCAAATCGAATGATTCGGTTTTGAATTGTAGATGTGTCTAAGAATATACATTTACGTGTATGTAATTGAAAGAATAGAATGCAATGTATTGAAACTGATGTGGGAACATTCAACTCTTATAATCTCTAAAAGGTTCATGGAAATTGGAATAACGGGGATTTTACTAGAGATAGTTAGACACAGAACCAACTAATGGATGCGGATAACTATCCTCACTTCAAGGATTTCCTGTCCGAGTGGAAACAATCCAACTCACTTCTCCTTGGGAAGTACTACCCTATAAAGGCCTCAAGGAACAGGAAGAAAACGGAGCCCGAACCTAAGGAAATACGAACAAGCTGTGTACACAGCTCAAGAAAATTGTAATTCTTATTGTTTTTCTAGCAGCAGAGTGTTATTACGTAATATTTCTTATCCTTAAATGGTTATCCCTCAATAGTCTTATGTCTTATACGCTACCGATTAAGCCAGAAATAGTGTTCTGTTCTCGTATTATAATGCTATATATAGGATCTTAAATAAATAATAATAATAAATAATCTATAGATTGGAAATGGAGTTTTAAAAGTTGATACGGTGGGGCTGTAAATAAATAAATAAAATAATAACAGAACCGAATTTATTCTTTGATGTCTAAAACGTAAAACACGAGCGTAAATGTTCACAAAGTATTTTTATTCTCCCGTTAAATTTAAAGCTTCTCAATCTTAATATAAACTGCATTCAGGGAAGATTGCTAATATTCTGACCTGTAAATGACGACTTTAATTTCAGTGTCATTTACAATAAATCTCAACCTTTCCACTCTGCCTAAATAGTGAAAAACGGTAGATGCTGAGGTCTAGTATAGGCTACTTTTTTTTGCCTGGTTGTAAGCTATTATAAACCAAATAACATTTGATTAATTCAGAGATAAATATGCACATAATGTTTTTTAAAGCCATACGTTATTGTCAACAGGGTAAGCAACTACGAGTCTCATAACCGGAAGTCAGACTGGGATCCGGACGCAGGATACCAGGAGGCTGCGGAGCTGACAGACCCCAAGGGGTCCAATGAACCTTTCGCCTATGGTCCTTACCCCAAAAGGGCTAATGGCAACCCCATCATCAACATATCATTCCGATCCTTGTTAAATGGATCATATTGCCAAAATGGGAGCCCCGGATTTCAGGTAATTTTGAGTTTGATAAATGCATTATATATTTTTTTTATTTATTAGTTATACATTTTCCTGGCTCACAATAAATTTGCCATCTACCTCGGTATTCAGCTTCTGGGCGGATTATATGGATTTGTGGCAATAGATTGTTAATCTTATCGCTGATTAAGTTCTTTTCTTTTTTGTTTTATGTGGTATGTCCATGTCAGTCATTTGTCCAAGTGGAGACCCAAATATCGCAAAGTTTTTGAGGAACTAGAGCGATATTATTAAAAACATTGGAGGATGAAATAATATCGAAATAGGCATGATTAAGTGTAAATGAAACAAATTGGCTCTTAGACTCGTTCATTTTTATTCTCCACCTTTTAGCCCAATAAGCTATGTCGTCTAGGTGTTCTTGAAGTACCTGAGAAGACTTAGCTGCATCCTTGTTAGACATTAATATTACCGAGTCATCAGCGATTGTATCCAACAGTGTTTCAGAATGTTGTGGGATGTCTGAACAGTAAATAATGAAAAGTGTTGGACCCAAGACACTGCCTTGAGGTACTACAGCTTTTATTTGTTCGATGGCAGAAAACTCAGTCCCCATTTTCACACGGAAAAATCTGGCTTTTAGATATGACATTAAATTAAGTAGTATATCGGAGGAATAATCGCTTTTAATTTATGTATCGTTTTTAATTTATACATAATATAATTCACAAGTAATGACTCATTTGTTACACTTCAAAGTTTTCAACTAAATATAACGAATATTTGAAGAAGAGTACCACTACTGAAAAATTAAATTCGTTCTCAGCTACTCCTCACATGGAACCGTTATTGTCCGCCGTTTTTGATTACTTACAATATATACTAGAAAACGCAACTTAAAAAAATGACCTATCATGGCTATATGGAATTGTGTATGGGTTTCCAAGAAATCAAAATTTTTTTCACTTAAGCGATTCTACCGATCTAAAACCTTAAAATCTCCAATGCTCCAGTTATGCTACTGTATCAAAAAATATTGTTGTCCTCAATAATGTTATGTTTTACATAATGCTGAATTAGCCCGTAAGAGATTTTTATTCTACAAACGCTATATAGATTGTAAATAGCGTTTGTTTATATAAATTTGACTTGACTTTGTTTAAGAAGTTGACGGGGAAGAGACCTTTAATGAATAGATACATATGACTCGTTAGGAGGTAGACAAGAGAAAAAAAATAATAATTTTGTACGTCTTAAAAATAAGAAGAAATAGATAGAATTTTTTATTTTGGAATCAAATCCTTGAGTGTCTAATACAATATTTTGTATACCGTGGACCAGAACCCTCAACCGTGCACCCCTCGCTCCTTCCATGTCCTACGCCCATTATTCATATAAACGTTTTTGTAGTTATTGAGATCTGCCATCACACCTATAAATATTTCCCTCTACTTACGGGAAAAACTGTATCAAAAAATAAAATATTAGTTTTAAACTGTTAAACTTAAAAAAATTCCGGGAAGTATTTTTAAATTAAGCTTTATTATTATTATTATATTACAATAGAGGTCGTATTAAACTTCCTCGGTAAAGAATTTAGGAAGTAGTAAGAAAAAAAATTGTATAAATGTTTCAAACAATTAAGTTATTGCATTAATATTTGATCATTAATACAATCAAAATAATATACCAAATATCTCTATATATTATATAATAATATACAAAATAATATCTATCTCTAAACCAATGTACTACACGATATTAACAAACAATATAACGTCTTTTGCATTGGTATTAAGAAGAGAGATCAATAAAATTTCTTGGGAGAGAGATAGAGGGTGGGATACACGTGTCATCGACCTTGGGAGGATGGGTAACTCTGCTGTTCCTGTACCTGAAATCTTCACATGACCCTCTAAGTAGGAACTTAGAACTTAGAACAGGAGATCTAAATTTGATTCTACATAAAATAATCTACTTATAACTGGACAAAATAATTAAATATTTTTATTGTGACAGTGGAGCGGGGCAAATTGAATCCTACCAACCCTCCTCTCCTCTCCCCCTGGTTTATTGCTTGTTCTGTTCTTCACTAACTGTGCTTCTTTCCCCTCTCTCCTTGGTCAATACCTTTTCAATATGCCTATAGTTCTAATAGTATATTAAGTGAAACAGGGCCTCTACTATTTATTTTTTAACAGTAACATCACAAAAAAAAACCAAAGTTGAACAGTCCCTTTTTCCGAGAATGATGTTTGGCCCGACTGGCACAATGTTGTACATGCATATGTACAAAGCTATGACTTTTGTTATAGATATATACCATTAAAGCTATATCTTCGACAAGAAACTCAAATACTAGTTACCGAATATTTATCCAGATGTAAGCTTAAGACGAGGATGAACCCTTTTCTAAACATGTAAACCTAAAATAAAAAATTGATTTTTTTCAAAAAATCTTTTTAAAGACTTCGCTACAGATTTCTTCCGATATCCCTCCATACACGTATACATTACAGTATTATTAAATTGTACTCAAGCTAATATAATAGTTTCTTTATTTGAATCCAATTTATAATCTTCTTTCTCATTTCATTGTAGGTGGCTATTCACAGCCCACATGAAATGCCAGTAATCGGTCATAGGGAAGCAGGATGGGTTTTGGTGGTATAACATACTTGACATCAATTAACACACCTCATCATGAAAGTATACAACTTATCTCCAAAGTTCTTTTGAAATATTTTTCAGAATGATGATAATACTGCACCGAAGGAAAGAACCTATTCAAACTTGCGGTACGATTTTGAGGTAAATTTAAATTATGTTATATGTATGGATATTAATTTAAATATGCGAACTATTAAAAAAAATATTATAACTAATTCTATGCTTATAGTTTTCCGTAATAAATGAAGAAATGATAAAACTTCCATTAAGTAATTAAATAAAGACGTACAGATAGAAATAATTATTTTTCTTGAAAAATAAAACTGTCTAAACAAAATTAAGTTTTTGGTGTCTAAATTGTGTATGAATAATTCCATTTACATTTACAGTGCATATTTCCACATCCCGTCAAATCATACTTATACAGAAAACAATCCTTACATGTTAAATAGACAAATTTCCTATTTTTCCTAGTAGAATTATTTATAACATAATTAAATGAAACATGAAATTTGTGGTTTCTTCTTTTTGAGTACGCAATAGATCTCGATTCAGAACGTACCTGGGCCAGCGAAGGCTTACGGATTTTCAAGCCACACCAAAGGAAATGCTATTTCAATGGTAATGTCTCACGTAAAACAAAGTAATTTTCTAATATGTTTGTTTGTTTCGTAATTATATTTAAATGCAAATTACTTTTATTGGGTATTGTTACAGGTGAAAAGGTGCTAAAATACTTTAAATTCTACACAAAAACCAACTGTGAGAACGAATGTCTCATCAACCGTACAATAGATGTGTGTAAATGCGTCGACTTTTACATGCCACGTAAACACTCAATAGCTTCCACGGTTAAATATTTGACTTAAAATACAAATTTCAATCCCAGCTAAACTTTTATGTTACAGATTTTGAATCTACAAGAATATGCTATACAGAGACTGATGTTGAATGCATAGTTGAAACGATGGGTAAGCGATCAACATATTAATCAATAACAATTGAAGTATCAAATTTGTTCAGCGTATAGGGGGAGCAGCGTATGGAGCCAGAGTCCAAAAATCGACCTGGTCGCAGGCGGAGGCTTGATTGTAAATTACGAAAATACATACATGTTATTATAAGAAAAAAGAACCTTGTCTATCATTCCAGGACCGCTGCTTTAAAAATTAGTGGCTGATTTAAAAAATATTAAGATCGAAGCGGGAAATCCATTGCCAAAAAAATGAGAAAAGTTTTATATTTTTAACTTGTATTTTAGCCATGTGAAAAACTAAATTGTAACACGGACTGCTAAGAGAAAACTCTTGGATTTCACAATTTCTCACGGGGCGAGGGGGTTTCAGAGCTAAACTTCATGGCTTCGGACAGGATATAGATTCCCACTGCCCCGCTTGTGGTGTTCCGAAGACTGTTGAGCACGTGGTCACGGCCTACACTGCTTTCGACGGATTAAGAGCTAGGTTAATGAGAACCACGGGAATTTAAGTCCTCGCTGTGGAGGAATTTCCTCAGTTGGTGAGTGAAGAAAACTTCATTTATAAATGGCTGGAAGACGGCGGTGGGCCCAGCTCACTTCAACCTATGAGCCCGCTGAAGGAGAAGAGGACTAGTCCCAGGAAGACCTCCGGATTCGGGAAGCCAGGCCTAGTTTGCTGAAGAATGAGGAAAAGTAGAAGAGCTAGGCTGTGTGCACAGCTTTGAATTTTGTGAGCTGATATTATGGTAGTAGTGTATTATTATGTATTAATGCTTAACATCACACTACTGCATGCACTCCTGTTGCCCTGGTGGCATGGGAGGGTGAGAAATAAAAAAAATAATAATTCCAAAAGAAAATTTTTCACATACAAAAAAGTCACATTTTTTCGATATTTTATTGTTTTTTCACCTATAACTCCTAAACGATGCATCGAAGCGAAAAATTACTTCTTTAAGAAATTACAGTTAAATTGTGTGTCAAACGAGTACATAAACTTAATAATTTGTTTACGGTATAAGACATAAAGTCTCGGTCAACTAACGCTGATTTTTACCAAATTAGTCAAAAACTGAGACAAATTAGTATAAATGGCCCTATAACTTGGAAATGAGTTGCCTAAGAGAAAAAAAACATAGAATCAAAGTTGTAGAGCATCAAATTTTGTGTCAACGGAGTACTGAAATTAGTCGGTTATACTGACTGTGTAAAAATAGCTTACCATAATTATGTCTGCTCAAAACATCTCTTTTTTACCTTGAGGGCGCCCTCGGAGCATATGGAGCATCTGCAGCGTGTGACTGTCTATGCTGGTCTGGGCACTTTCCGTGCTGCTCTGGGGTACTATAAACCGGCAGCTAGAGCGGATTAAGAGTTATCTTTTAGATCTTCTGATCTGCCCCCACCACTTGCCGTAACGAGGGAAATTGGAACCATTTTCACACAAACAACACCCATATATGGAAGTTAAGCAAATAAAAACTTTTCTAACACTTTTCGCAAGGGATTTCCTGTTTCGATCCTCAGGTTACTGGCCTAATATTCTTTAAATCAGCAACCATTTATTCGTACCTTCGCCTGCGATCAGGTCTATTTATGGGTCCCGGCTCCAGGGTTATCAGAATAACATACACTTTCGTAATTTACAATCAAACCTTCGCCTGCGATCAGGTCGATTTATGGGCCCTGCCTCTAGGGCCATGTGTTCCTATGCTGCAAACATCAAGTCCAGGCCCAGCTGAGGTAGCAAATTATTTATTCTGTCACATTAACGCTGAGGTCAATACACACATAAGCTTTGTAAAGTTGAATTCTGAATAAAATAATTCAACAAGAGGGAAAATCTGGCAGGATGTAAATATATGAATGTTTTTCTAGATGTATATTTATTTTGTAATTATGAAGGAATATATTTTTTTAGATTGGTGGGAGAGGCGAGGTAAAAAGTTTTGCAATTGCTATCCTTATTGCAGCGAAATTAACTACAATGCTTACATTTTCGGCAAGAACAGAAGCAGCACTCAATCCAGGTAAATTTTTAATATAGCATTCAATAAATGTACATGTAAAAACAATCATAAGAACGACAATATCTCAAGAGTTTTGGTAACGGAGTTAAAAAAACTACAAGGGGAGTTTACGGATCTGGGTCACAATTTCAGTGAACCTTTTTTTTGTGATACTAGGTCGAAAAATATTTTATCCATATCCGAGATTTATTTCCTATGCGCCCTAGGAGTCGAGAAATTTTTTTTTAAATTATTTTTGTACATTAATGTTTTGTGACATTGCATGGTTATTATATATCAATCGTTTTTCTTTCTTTAATGTTAAATAAGAAAACAATATTGCTAATTTTGTTAAATGAATTCTAATGAACAATAAATTACAAAAACCCAAAACCGCTTCCAATAAAGTAAGCCAAGTAAATTTTTGTCAAGAAAAAAAACGATTCAGATTTGTTATCGGTATAGTTTTGAAGAGCAATAAGCAAGATTCCAACAGAAAACATTAATACAAATAAATTATAAAATAATTTCCTTTATGGGCAAGAACAGCAAAGATATATCTTGGTATAAAAGGGATAACTCGCTAACATAAGAAAATAGGACGAAATAGAAGTTCTTGGTAAAACTTCGCTCCGAGCGCCTAAAATCCATGCGAAGTCCCTTGAAGATTTTTATTTTCTCTCTAACGGAGCGTAGCTTCTTGAACTAATATACAAAATAAGCAATATTTCATTTTACGTTAAACGCTTAATTTTGATTAATTATTTTTTTCATTTTAGTTTCTGTAGATTAATTTAATCCATATTACATATCATAAAAAAATTAATAAAATGAAAGGGAATTCTTTAATAGATCGAATAATGCCTGGATAAGACTTAATTAATTAATTAATAATTTTTTTTTCTTAGCCCAAATAATATAATACTTCGAACAATTTATTTTTGTGTTGAACGCCTTTTACTGTAACTGTGACTTACTGTAACTTACATTTTAAGGCCTTATTGAAATTTTGTTTATGTTTGGTGTAATAATAATTATTAAATGTAATAATATATTTAATATTTAAATAAATAAATTATATAACTAATTATTTTATAGGGATAACGAGATAAAGAACTTTAATGTTTCAATCTACAACGCTGACGAATTCTACACGAGTAGAGAGAATAAGCAGTCCCAATGGACTATTATAGACCTTGTGGGTAAGTGTAGCTGTAATATATATATATATATTAAATTTCATTAAATCCCTATTTTTCAACTTGCGCCATGAATGTGTTTAAGGATCATTTTGGCAATATTTCAAATACGGGAAATTATGATCTGTGTTCTCCTTTTGAGTACCAGCGTGCGGAACCGTTAATAGAAGAATCGAGTAAAGAGGAAGTGGAAGTAGCTATCGGAAAATTAAAATCTTATAAAGCAGCGAGAACCGATAATATTCCTACTGAACTAATTAAGGCATGCGGAGAAACTGGAGTTTCTAAAATACATCGGTTGGTTAAAAAAATCTGGAAGAATGAGAAATTACCTGAAGAATGGAAAGAATCTATTCTTATTCCGATTCACAAAAAGGGTCCGAGGACGGATTGTCATAACTATCAAGGAATTTCACTCCTTCCGGTATGTTATAAAATATTCACCTTAATCTTAACAAGTCGAATCACGGAATACGCCGAGGAAATTATCGGAGACTACCAATGCTGATTTAGACGGAATCGTTCTACTAATGATCAAATATTTTCTTTACGGCAAATATTACAGAAAAAATTAGAGTACAACGGTGTTGTTCACCAGCTGCATACCGATTTCAAACAGGCTTATAATTCTATTGACCGCTGAAACTGTGTAATATTCTAATCGAGCAGGGGGTTCCAAAAAAACTAGTAAATTAGTCAGGATGTGCTTGACGGAGACACTCAATAAAGTTAGAATCGGTAATAATTTGTCCGAAAAATTTGAGTTTCGTTCGGGTTTAAAACAGGGGGATTCTCTTTCGCCTGTACTGTTAAATTTGGCATTACAACATGCCATTAGGGAGGTAATGCGTACCGAAAAAGGGTTGGATCTGGGTGGGACAACACCCGTGCTGGGCTATACGGATGATCTGGTACTGTTAAGCGAAGACGTGGATCTATAAAATTAAGTACGCCAACGTTAATGAATGCCAGTAAAGAACTAGGGCTCGAAATAAACACGGATAAAACAAAATATATGGTTAGCTGCTAAAGTGGCGATATTACTGGTTATATCGATATAGATGGTAATATGTTTGAACAGGTAAAGAAGTTAGGTATCTAGAGTCTATGATAACTAAAAAAAAAACGAAATTGAAGAAGCGATTAAGATTAGACCGAAGCCGGGAAATGCTTGCTATTTTTCTGTGACAAAAATACTTAGCTCGTGCCTCTTGTCTCACAACTCTAAAATTAGAATTTATAAAACCATTGTCTTACCTATAGTTCTTTATGGTTGTGAAACGTGGCCGCTTACCTTAAGGGATGAGCAACGTCTTAAGATTTCTGAAAATAAAGTATTGTGTAGAATATTCGGACCGGAGAAGGATGAATTAACCGGAGAGTTCGGACGGTTACACAACGCCAAATTGCGTAAACTATATCCGGGTAATATAATTTAGGTGATTTCATCCCGGCGAATCAAATGGGCCTGTAAAATTTTAGTATAAAAAATCTTAGTAACGAGAGAATTCCTAAAATGTTAATATTTGCTGTACCGAATGGTAAACGTCCGAACGTAGTAGGAGTAGCCCGAAACGTAGGTGGGAATATTACATTAAAGCCGATCCGAAGGGACTAGATTTAGACGGCGAACGGATGAGGGAGGTGTGGAATAAGCGATTGGTGGTGTCGATATGGAACCTTCGGGTTCGCTAAGCCTTTTATTATATATATATATATATATATATATATATATATATATATATATATATATATATATATATATATATATATATATATATACATTATGATGCTCTAAGTCTTTATTAGCTTCATAGTATATATTTTATCGAAATTTATTTTATTTATACTTGTTAATTATTATAATATCTGAAATAATTAATAGAAGTGACAGTTGCTACCAGGGCAAAACATCGCGGTAGAGCACTTAAACAAGACTTCGTCTATCGAGTCTGGGTGGCCTATCTATTAACAAGGAAATATACCGTAGTTTTAAAAAGTAAGTGAGTTTTGACGATGTTTTTTTCAGATTTACATAAAACATTCCGTTTTTTCAATTATACTGCAATATCTTAGACAAAGGATCATAAAGATCAGTACGTAATAAATAAAATGGATCATAAATAACACATGTTTTAAGGACAGACGGCTAATAATATAAAGTAAACTTGTAGCTTATTAGATATATTCAAAACAAGAAATGAAGAATTTTTAAATTCAGTAATGTAAATGAAAAATAAAACAATAAAAATCCGGCTTACCTTGGAGAAATATTCAGTTCATTCTGATAGGTAAATGTTAGTACGACCTCAGATCAACGAAAAAGTGTTAAAATAGATCAAATAAAAGCACGATCCTGATTCTGTCTTCCTAATTAACTTTTACGTTTTTTACTTCCTCAAATGCCAAGGATACATTTTTAAAAATGTCCTACATGGTCTAACCATCTGAAATTACCCAATTTGAGATCAAGTTATCGATCGATACGTCTTGTTTTATGTTAATTTTCATTTTACAGTTCATTAATTAATTAAAAAGTGCCCAAGAAATATTATGGATTCCCATCGCTTTATAAGATTTTAATTTCCCGATAGCTACTCCAATTTCTTTTTATTTCCCAAAATTTTTCAGTGGGCTGGTAAACTAAAGTAACACTACCGACATACCCTTATATAGAAATTATTAAAAGGCACTTAAAAATAATCACGAAATAATAATGGATATGATAACCGTAGTTATCAGCATAAAAAAGAAATTAAATGACTCAATTTTCTAGTTCTAAATAACTTATTGTATAATATTAATAATAACCCACTATATTAAATGTTTATAATCATACTTTGCAGCAAGCTGTGGAGGCGTGTTCGGCCTGCTGTGCGGCATGAGCCTCATCGGCGTTGTGGAATTCATCTACTACGCGACCATACGAGTCATCTCCAACATCATCAGGATCCGCAGGGAAGAACGGAGAACAGCGGACTGATTTACTTAAATCAGATCCTTGGGAAGGAAATAATTTGATCTCACTGTTCCATTTAAGAGAAAAATAACTAAAGATCTGTGAAATTGTATAAATTATAATCATTTTGACGATACCTGACCAATATATAGTAAAGTTACATAATATTCCTGTCAATATATTACGTTTTCAATTCAAATTTCTAACAACCAAGAAATTATTAAATCTTTATATTTACTTTCGAGTCAAATTATATAAAAACAAATATGTCGACAGCGAAACTAGAATAAATGCCAAGAATGGAGTTGGCTCATATCTCAGACCTATTTACTTTTTAGACAACTATGGAGAACACAAGGAGGGTTATGTGTTTGGGTTGATCGCTGGTATATATATATTGTAAAAGAAGTTAAAATGGTCCTAGAAGGCCAATTTAAAAATAAAACAAAAACATTCTATTAAGGTATTTTTTTTTTTACTGCTTATATATAGTATAACTCTATCACTATTAGTACATAATGTAACATTACTCAATAAAATAATTTGTTAAAAAAAAAAATATATATATATATATATCACAGTATCATGTGGATAAATGAGGAACTCCTTGAATTAAGGGAAAGCTAAATCATAATTGCGGATTGTAAAGTGTCATACATATATATATATATGTGTGTGTGTGTGTGCGTAAGTGTGTGTATATATTAAAAAGAGAGCTTATTAATGAGACAAAGGCTCGTTTAATACTATTTTTTCTCGTTAGCTCTGTAGTGTGTTTAGCTTAACACTAATTAATTAATACTAATAATCCTTTAGCTAGATTGCGTGTGTGTGTGTGTGTGTGTGTGTGTGTGTGTGTGTGTGTGTGTGTGTGTGTGTGTGTGTGTGTGTGTGTGCGTGCGTGCCCGCGTGTGCGTGCCTGCGTCAGTGCGTCCGTGTAAAGATGTAAGATGAGATTGGACCTTATTTTAATTAATTTTATTACGGAACACACTGTAATACCTAGTGTTGTCCAAATATATCGGTCTTGGCCAAGACCAAGACCAATACTGGTAAAAAAAAAATTTTTGAAATAAAAATTAAGGCAAAATAGTTAGTAATACTTCACGATTTAAGTTACTATATGTAAAGAATTGGTATAATCAAAATACTTTTGAATTTAACTCTTCTAATTTTTCATTCGGGATTAGTTAGGTTTCTCCTGTCTAAAAAAGTATTGTAATATCTCTATAGTAATAAGCTAATAGGTAACTGCAAGACTCTTGTGAGACTCTTGCGCAAGACCAAGACTCGTCATTTGGGCAACCCTAGTAATATCCATATAGTTCATTTTTTAAAGGAGAAGATAATGACTAATGACTAACAATAAATGATTGAAGAAGCTGAGCAATCACTGATAACATATAAGATCTGATCTCTGACCTAGCCGAGGTTGGGGACTGCTAATCTCGTTAGTTCAACCAAATACTCCTCTCACTATGTAAATTAAAATATTGATAATAAATTTTAAAATAGATTAGAATGTGTAAGATCGAAGGAACCTTCAATAATTGTTATATCCTCAACTACCGTATTTAATACAAATTTTGAATTTGCGTTACATTAATGATTGGACATTGGTTATAAAAAAATAAGATTTTTGCGAATGATTTTGGAAAATTTGATTTTTAAGGCTATTTGAAATTAAGTTATATTTTCATTCAAGAGAAAGTTTAGAACATAAAATTCAACTATTGAATTTTTACGGAATGAATGGTAATTTGTTTAATTATAAAGTGGCAACATGAATTAGATTTCTGAGATTAGAAATTTTATTATAAAAGGATTAAGTGAAGATAGGCTCAGTATCACGTGGATAAATGAGGAACTGTTTGAATTAAGGGGAAGCTAAATCATAATTGCCGAGCATAAAGTGTCATTTAACTATTTTAAAAACAATTTTGAACCTATAGCTGTTGGATTTTGGTACTTTTTTTTTATTTATTACGTGCATTAATGTAAAGACGAGTACAAAATTTTAGATTTTTTCGACTTACGGTTTTTCGATTACAAAATCTTTAAATGATAAAAAAGGTTCGTTTTTTAGACAGTTTTGGGGCTATTTCTTAAGAAATATTGGTACTAGATAGCTTGAACAAATGTCATATTTTTCAGTGGTTTATGCTATTTCTTTATGGTATACTACATGGCGATATTCTAAAAATATAATATTTTTCCAAGAAAACTAAAACATTCTCTTTTGAATTCTGAAAAAACACCTTTTTTTACTTTTATTTAAAAATATATATGTTATTATGACATATGGAGCCTAAAGGTGAATACAATTTCTAAGTGGAGAAACGATGGGATTTTCTCAAGATAAAAAAAGTGTACTTAAAATAGGTACACTGAAAAGATAATCAAGCTCCACCGATATTAGAATATACCTATTTTTATAGTTTAAATGTATACATGTTTGTATTTTTATTTAACTGACAAAAAAGGATTTTGTTTAAAATCTTAAGGTCATACATAAAAAAAAAATATTTAAATGTTATTTATGTGTAAATTTATTCAAAGAGGTAATAAAATGTAAATACATTATTTACAAGTGTCTCTTATGTTTTATATATTTTTTCTTTTCTTTTATTTTGTGAAATGATGGTTGTTACATTTATTTCTTTACTGGTCTGCTTATATGTCCTTCCCCACCCGCAGTCCTTGGATCAACCATTTTCAGTAGAATCTATTTGCACAACCAAAATGTAAGGTTTTGGCTGTGGATATCAGAAGGATGTCGCAGGTTCTTGAGTATGCAAAAAACTAAAGTTCTTTTATTTTATTTTATCAATTTTTTTACTTAAATTATTTATTCTTTTTTTACTGTTATCCTTTAGGAAAAATAGTAAAAAATAATTTTTAAAAAATTGTAGTTTTACCTTACAATATATAGTAAATAATTATAACGTACAGTAGATGAAATTGTAAATATTTATATAGACCTAGATTTATTATATCTTATTTATATAGCCTACCAGAAACCATTTAAACAATAAGCTCCTAAGATACATTTTTTTTTTTTTTTTTTTTGCACTTACATTTATTTATCCGCACCTGTCAATTATTATTGACAATCAGCAGATGTGCTGGCTTAGTAATGAGAGAAAAAATAAAATAAAAAATAAATAAAAAAAATAAATAAATAAAACGGCTTGATAGGCATGAGGAATAGCAATACCCAGCGGTATCCCTTCCATGGCTTTTATTTACTAACATTATTTAAGCAGATCCCTCATCCAGACCCTTTTCAGTCGTCTTCTGGAGTTCTCCGGCATACTAGTTGTGGCCATTTCTTTTACCAGCTGGTTGGAGTGCCCGTTTAACATGTTATGAAATCGTTTGTAGTACGTTCGTATGTGTTCATTGACTGTCGGAACGTGTAGGTCGGTGTGCAAAGTGTGATTGTTTACGTACCATGGTGCTTGAGTGATTAGTCGTAGTATCTTAGACTGAAAAGTTTGAAGTTTATTTATGTGAGTTGGTTTTGCAATTCCGTATATTTGTAGTCCGTAAGTCCAAAGAGGTTTCAAAAGATACGTGTAAATACTTAGTTTCTGTCTTGCTTTTAATTTGGAAAGTCGTCTTAACAGTGTATGTAACAATTTTAGTCTTAGATTTAATGTGATTCGTTTTTTCTTCACATGTGGACCCCATGTCATTCTCCTATCGAACGTAAGGCCTAGGTATTGTACTCTGTCTGTTTGTGGAATCGGTATGTTGTCTAAGTATACAGGAGGGCATGTTTCTGGTCTTAGAGTAAATGTGATGTGCTGTGACTTTTGATAATTTATTTTAGTTTTCCAAAGTTTACACCAATCGAGTATAATTTGTAAGTGATGTTGTAAGTTAAGTGATGCCTCTGTAGGATTGTCGTGCCTGGTAATGATAGCAGTGTCGTCTGCGTAGGTTGCTGTAAGAGTGTGGATACTTTGAGGAATGTCGTGTGTGTATGTGATGTACAGTAGTGGGGCTAGGATTGATCCCTGAGGTACACCAGCTAAAACTGATCGAATTGAGGATAGACCTTGGCCATGTCGAACGGAGAAAAATCTATCTGAGAGAAAGGAATGGAGAATTAAGTAGTAAGTATGTGGAAGTATGGTCTTAAGCTTGAAGAGAAGCCCCTGATGCCATACTTTGTCGAACGCTTGGGCGACATCCAGAAATACTCCGGTTGCATATAATTTCCGCTCTAGTGCTGTAGAGATGTAGTCAGTCACCCTGTGCAATTGTTGTGTTGTTGAATGTAATTTTCGAAACCCGAATTGATGGTCAGGAATAATCTGTCTGTCTGTTAGTATATGTAATAGTCGTGGGTACAATAGTTTTTCGAATAACTTAGAACATACTGGAAGTAAACTAATCGGTCGATATGAAGAAAGGTTGTTAGTGTCTTTGTTTGGCTTTTTAATCATGGTTATGTGTGAGTATTTCCATTGTATAGGAAATTTGGTGGTCCTGAGAATGCAATTGAAGATTGTGGTAAGAAACACTAGAGCTTTCCTTGGCATTTGCTGGAGCGCCTCAGCAGTTATCAAGTCATGACCAGGGGTTTTTCTTTTGGGCAATTGTCTAATTTCTTGTGCAACTTGTGATGGTGTGAAAGGAGGTGGTGGTAGTGTGAGCTGTAGCGGTATGTCTAAGTTATTATGTACAAAAATATCGTGTTCTGTATTAATTAAGTCTGTATGTGGTTTAAAAACAGTGGAAAGATGGTTAGCAAAGAGTTCAGATCTTTCCTCGTCCGAAACAGCCCAAGAGCCATCCTCTCTTCGTAGGGGTGCTGACACCTCACGATGCTTTAAAAGATTCCTTGTATGTCTCCATAAACTTCCATCGTCCGTCGAAAGGTTGTTAATAAAATTGTCGTAGTTTGTGCTTTTGAATTTTTGAATATGTCTTTTAAGTTCGTTGTTCAATCTGTTAAAAGTTTGTCGGTCTGAAGGAAGTCTGTTAGTCTGCCATACTTTACGTGCTCTTCTCTT